TGCTACTTTAATACTAGTAGGTTTTTAAAAAATTGCATTGGAATTTTAAATCTCTTACCCCCTCCAGATTTTATTAACTTAAGAAGTTTCATTTGCACTTTTTCAAGGCTAGAAATCAAGTTTCATTACTCCTATTGTCTTTTCTTACATTTTCCTTGTTTTAAACAAAGGAATTAGATATATGTTGGGATTCTTTAACAGGTTTATCATGCTGAGGAACTTCCCCCCATTGCTGATTGTTTTGATTTGCAACTTTCAATAACATCATTTATTTTTATTTATTGATATTATGCATATTTCAATTATTTCCACCTTACCTATGAAAAATACATTATGGTAAGTTGTTTAATCAGAAATGAGACCAAAAACTAAATTTCTAGAAGTTTTCTACATCTGTAGGGTTTTTTTTGTTGTTGTTAATTTTCAACATATTTTATTTCAAACTTCTTATAATGTCTTCATTTATGCTTCTGAAGCAAACTTGGTAAAGTAGGATATATTTTCTAGAAAATTAATTTCATTTGGGTGTAGATGAAATATATAATTCAGAGTAATTTTTAACAGCACTTCTTGACATTTTCTGCTCAGAGTGTTCTGTTCCTAGATTTCCTCTCACATATGCTGGTTTGCACTTTACAGCCTGCAGCTATTTTAGTCTCTTTTCTCAATAAAGCATCCCATCCCGTGCTCTTGAATCTATGAAGGAAACATTTTCAGGCAATGCTCAGAAAATGGGAATCTGTTGTTTGATATTGGCAAAGCAACCCTTGCATCTTGAAGAAACAACGAGAAGTATTGCTCCTATGTCTTGTATTGTGTATCCAATTAGGAATGGTCATCTTGCTTCAAACATAGGTGCAGCCTGAGTCTCAAGCAATTTACAATTTGTAACATGTTGTAATGACGAGGCAGTCGAGTTGTTTGATCATGAACAGCTGAATCATGATGATCTTTATTGGAGTCTAGTCTTATATTTATACACATTTTTAATTATCCTCCATCATTGGTTAACTTTTGTTACTGCTTAACTTTCATTACTGTTTAGCACAGTAATTAATACAATTAATTATCTCTAGTTAAAGTCTAACATAGGTTTACTTCCTCTCCCTAATCCTCTAGATTAGTGACTTTGTTTGCCTGAGTTGTATTTGCTTGGAAACATTCTTTATCTGAGGTTTGCCATCTGAGATTGGAATATTCCTGCAATTACAACTCTACAGTAACAGTTATTTATATAGGATTAAGGAACCATGGTGATGCCATGATTAGAATGTAGTATTGCAGGATACTTCTGCCTACTGCCAGCAGTTCAATCTTGACTGGCTCAAAGTTGACTCAGCCTTCCATCCTTCCAAGGTTGGTAAAATGAGGACCCAGATTGTTGGGGGTGATATGCTGACTATGTAAATTGCTTAGAGAGGGCACTATGAAGCAGTACGTAAGTCTAAGTGCTATTGCTATTGTTATTGCTATTTTTCTATAACGTAATAGCTTTTCTTAATTTTAATGAAAGCACTATAAATGATAACATCATAATAGCTGCAAAAAAACCCACACATTTGTATAAAATACTATGTTAGGAAAATAAATAATGGGAAATTTTTGAATCAGTGATTAAGGATACATTGTTCCAGTCACAAAATATGGGGTGTGGAGCTTGGCAGCCAAATTAAATACAAATAGTCCTTGACTTATGACCACAATTGAGTCCAAGATTTCTGTTTCTAAGCAAGGTAATTGAGTTTTGCCCCATTTTACAACTTCTCTTGATTACAGTTGTTAAATAATCTCTACAGTTACTAAGTGAATGGTTTCCCTGTTGACTTTGCTTGTCAGAAGATCGCAAAAGGTGATCACATGATCCGGGGACATTGCAACCTTCATAAATACATGCCAGTTGCCAAGTGTCCTAATTTTGAAGAAATGACCCTAGGAATGCTGCAACAGTCGTTAATGTGAAAAACAGTCATCAGTCATTTTTTTCAGTGCCATTGTAACTTCAAACAGCCATTAAACAAATGACTGTAAGCTGAGGATTACCTGTATCCGTAAATTCATTCAATAACTATCAGAATTGTTTTCAAAAAATCTGTTTTATATAAAATACTAAGTTTAGGAAAGTAAATAATGAGAAATTTTTGAATTGGTGGTGATTGATTACATTGTTCCAGTCACAAAACTTGGGGGGGGGGGGGGGGGGAGGTCTTAGCAGCCAAATTAAGTGCTTGTAATTTAATCAATAACTACTGGAAACATTAATGAAAACTTTTGCTGATTAGACATTCATATTTCTTCAAAATCCACACAGGTTTACATCTATTGAGCTTTGATGTTCAAGCTATCAGACAAGCATGACTGCCCACAATTCAGGCATTTACAGAGGTCTGAATCCAGTCCACAAAGTAGACCAAATAATCTGCTTACTGGACAAATGCATATGGGCTCCATATATTTAACAGGGCAAAATTAATTCACAAACAAGAAAGGGGGTATCTTCAATTATCCAATAAAATAACTTGTAAAGCATACAAAACTGAACTCAGATATTGTTGTATCCTTACAATCTATTGTTTCACTTTCACACAAATTTACAGTAGAACCTAGCTGAAAAATGCCAATGTGCAACATACAAACCATAACTTCAGTGTGAAGCAAAATATTCCTGCAATTCACCTTTCCTGGAAATTGAAAATAGAAAGAAGTGTGTCAGTGTTCCAAGTAACGCACCCATAGAAAACAAAACTCTGAGGCAGGCAGGTTCCTCAAATAACAGTTTATTGGATACTTCATATTGGCACAACTGGTGTAAGCTGACTCTGGCGTTTCCAGCAGCTTTCACCTAATTAAAAGTAAAGATTTCCCCCTTCCCACCAAGTCATTGGTCACGCTGTCCAATCCAGGTGCTGGCTGGTTGCTGAGTTACTTGCTCCTCCTCTGGCTAGCCATCTGTGAGAATGTCCTTGATTCCCACAGGAAAACTTTATTGTTTTTGCTACAAAACCCCATCTAACTATTTCCCCCCCTCCCACTGTTGTGTGGCAACCCTTGAAACCTCCAAGATGGCTTCAGCCAAGTTCACTTCAGGGTTGACAATGTGTGTGTGTGTCTGTGTGATTTGGTCTATAAAAAAATCCTAACATAATTATGGTGATAACCATGGAGACATGATTGTTGATTTAAAGTATAGCTATTTGAAACAGTAATAAAAACTGTAGAGAGAAAAATTAGAATTACTTTTATTTAAATCTAGATTGCTTCCATAGTGAATTATAAAAAAAAGTAAATCCACTGTAAATTCATGGCTAATCCAACATAAAAAAGAACATCAGCTCAGTATAATTTGCTTTGTCTTTATTAACCAATAGCTTTAAATTGAATGATCTTACAATTGAAAGTTCAATAATTATGACTAATAATTACTATTAATTGTTTAAATACCTTTGTACATCTACGTAACATTTATTTAATCAAAATCCTATAGGATAATTATTTTATATGCTTACAATGTCACTCACTGAATTTGCTACATAAAAACAAATCTAGATGCATAATATTAGATTTGTAAATTGAAATGTCTAAAAAGCTAAAGAAAATTATAGTAATTATTGACATTAGTTATATGACATGATGATTCATATGATACTGACATAATATCTAGTTCATTAGCAGCCAGAATATTCATTTACTACTAGAAGAATATCACACTTCTACCAATATTTTATGGAATCTAGGACATTCTAGTCATACTTAATACAAACCTAAAAATAAGTATAACACAGTATAAAGATTAAAATACCAATAATAAATTATAAGTAATGTTTTCCTATTATCTGACTGAACTTAAATGAATATACAATATAGAATTTAAGAAGCTTAGGTCCATATTCTATAGCATTCCTTTAACTGTTGAAAGAGATCCAGAAGGGAATTTCTTCATGTGTGTGTGTGTGTGCATGCGTGTATGTGTATTTATTGGCTTTTCTCTTAAAATTAAAATTGATTTCAACAGATTGTTTTGATAAGAAAAATGTTCAGAGAAGGAAAATGCAATCTTTAGGGAAAGGTTAACACAAGAAATAAATGATCTTCACTTGATTGGTTTATCCAATCATAGAAATAAGACTCTCCAAACAGTATGATTTTTTTACTGTAGGAATTTCTGGGAAGAGTTCTTCCTTGGGCAACAAGTGGCCATATAAAGTGAAAATATCAGAATTTGTAAAACGTACACATTTAAAGATTCCCAGGTTAGGAAAACTATACAGGTAGTCCTCATATAGTGAGTACCTCATTTACCAACCATTCACAGTGGGGAAAAATTCTTAAAAATAACTTTTATGACCAATCCTCATATTTACAACCTTTGCAGGTCTGTAAAGCAAAGGAAAGCTGAAGCAAAATCATAGGAGCAGTTTTGGTTTCCCTTAATTACAGTTTTGAATAATGATTGAGTTGCCAGTTCCAGTTGTTATCACTAAAGGAGAAGTACTGGCAATATAGCATGGCAATAAAATGCTACCACAGTTCCTCACATAAGAATGGAATGATGACCTACATCAGTCAGTCTCATTTTTGTTCCTCTATTTTTGAGAAATGGTAACATAATGGGGAATATCTTCAGAGAATGCACACTAAAGTTCTGAAGAACATATGTTGTCTAATGTCTACCAGAACCTACAAAAGCATTGCAGTCATCTTTGGTTAACTTGCAATAAATCTATATTTCTTTTTGTAGAAGCCATTTTTAATGTGCACTGAAACTTATGGCTTCCCTTTTACTGAGGTGTAAGATCCTGGATTAAAAAATGTAATACAGATTCCAATTTATTCCATCTTGATTTATTTTATTAATATACAGTATTCTGTTAACTTCCTGAAGCTGCAGAGATTATAAGTCACAGGAGGTATTGGATAAGGTGTATAATTTTAATAGACACTGAACTCATAGTCAGTGAATGTATTTGTTGTATTAATTATATTGTTATATCTTCTTTAAAAAACCTGTTTCTTCCCAGATGACTCTGAAGTTTAAACACATTTATTCATGCACTCCAGCAGCTCCATCCTGATAGCAATGCGCACATGCCAGCCAAGGGGTATCAACCGTATGTAACGAGAAACAATGGGTGGACGCAAAAGGTTCTGCACAGATGATGATCTGTCTGAATTTCCATAGAAAATCTAGAGAAAATGAAGTAGGAGAGCAAGGGGAAAAAGAGAGTTTAAGACTTGACATTCTTCTAATTTTGCACCCAACAATTTGGAAACAATTTTACTGTCTTAAATGACTGAGAAAAACCTAACTCTCTATGACTAAAATATGATTATATACTGTATTAGTACTGTACTCAGCATCTCCCCTCATCCCTTGTATGGCTTGTTAATTTTTTTTTTTAAAAAAATCCTCATATAAAGGTCATAAGTGACTGACATTGTGCTTGGGTTAAAATATTTCACGAATGAAGGCAAATATACATGTCCCAGGATAATGTTGCAGGATCCAATCTGGGTTGGTCACCAGAACCAGAGGTTTTGTCTTCTGAGTTTTTGGACTAATGCTGAAGCCCATCCTCAGGGAACTTCTCTCTAGCAGAGTATGCTCCTTGGGCTATTCTGTGTGTGTCATTTATATGGTGTATGTGGCTTTTTAGATGTTGATTGGGGTGCTGATGACTGGCTATTAAGTCATTGGCTGTTATTTGCCTGTGCTGCCAAGCCCTCGCCTCCTAAGTACTTGATCAGCTGGTGATAAATCAGCACTCCTGTTGATTGACAAGGGGCCTGTTTCTCAGGCTTCAATCATTTCCCTGCTTGTTTTTGTATCAACTCATCCAACAATCTTAGTAACTGCAAAATTGAATGTATGTCCTTATTCATTGCAATGTGAGGCTACCAATGAGTTCAGGTCTCCTTGTCTGACCCCTCAGTTGTGTTCTTGTATTCTGGTGATTATCTCCCACTCACCCCCATGTCTTTATAAAACACACACAGAACAGCCCAAAGCACACACTCTGCTAGAGAGAAGTTCCCTGAAAAGTCCAAAAGCTAGGAAGACAAAATCTCTGGTTCTGGTGAATGACCCAGATTGGATCCTAAAATATTTCACTTAACTCCATATTATTACATGGCCTCACCCCTAGCACCTGTCAAGTTTTTAAAGCTATTTTCAAATACAGGTTAAGTGCTCTTCTAGAAGTGCACTAAACCTGTCTTCAAGCTCCTTTTGAATACCTGCCAGCTGTTGCTAGATTATTTTAAATGCAATTTAGTAATCTTCTGAAAGAGTACTAAACTTGTATTCAAAAGGAGCCCACATTGCATAGTATGGGGGAATTTCCTCATTCTCCAATATGCAGCTAGTACTCACCCATCCCACTCTGCGCCTGCCACTTTTTAGTCAAACTGGTTCCTCTTTCCAAACCAGTTGGCGATAGATACAAGATGGGCATTTTCTTGGAGGCCTGGCAAATGTGGGGCAGGAGGAAGTAAAATTTGAATGGCCTGGAAGGGCAATGACCAGAGATTGGATAGGAGAATGCATATCTGCATCAGCTTTTGGAGGCCAACAGTTGTTGGTTGAATATTGACTAAATGGTTGATGAAGATTGCACTCATAATAAAACTTCCATATCTTTAAATACTTAACTACTTTAAGGATGATTTAAGGCTGATTCAAGTATTGGTTGAGAGTGAGATGAAGACAACAACATGAAGACACAGCAGGAAAAAGACCATGCTCTTACCATAGTTAAGTATACACTGGGAAAACCCCTAAGTGATTTGAGTTAATGGCAACACATGAGATAACATTGATAAAATTAAGAGATAGAAAGGAGCGAATATAGGCATACAGCTGATAATCTAGGGTGTTCAGAAGAACACTGTTTTTATACATGTATATCCCTGATTTGGTCAGTTGTCCAAAATGGTATAGTAATTGTAGTCTCAAATTTAACTCAATGGAATGGATTGAATGGCATTCTCGATATACCTTGAAGCTAAAATATATCCTATTGGAATAGATACAAATACTGGGACTTTGTCAGAAAAGGGGAAGGGATCTTATACTGACCCGATTGTTTCCTGTTTGGTCCTTGTAATAAACCCAGTTCAGATTCTCATCAGTCCTGTACTGTACACTATATTTTGTCATCCATTCATCTGCATCACATCTTCCCTGTGTCATTATTCCTGAAATAACTTTAATTTTCTTCAAGTCAATCTGCAGCCACTGGTTTGTATCTTGGTATTTGGAGAGCCAGGCACACCTAGAAGAGTTATGGAAGGAAGGCACTGATGGTCAAGTACATATCTTTATAAGGCATACATTTTGACTCAGCATCCATAAATAACTCGTCTTTAGAGGATAAGTCAAGAGATGAATCTGAAGCCAGCAAATGGCTAGAACCTGGATCAAAATAGGCAGAAAAAAATGAGGTCCAATGATCCAGATAATGATCCTGATAAAGACACCTCCAAACCACTCACTACAGGGTGGAGCTCTTGGAGTCAGCCATTGCATTTGATCGCTGAATGTTTGGAAGCTTCATGCTAGCTTTCCTGAATCCTGGAAAAAATATTTCATGTAAATAATTACTTTCCTTCATCCTCTGACCATTTGTTGTCCCATTGAAGCTACAAGTTTCAACTGCCTTGCATACTCAGATGCTTTTTTGTGAATAGGATATATTTAACAGTAAATGAGAAAATTCATCACATGAATTTGAAAACTGAGGTACTTCTGAAACACATCCTTTGAGGGCAGTTTTGAGAGAGCTATATGATGGATTTTGCTCCCTATTTCTGGGTTGTGCTGTTATTTGAATGATAAATTTATTTCTAGCAAACTTTGGGAATATCCTTGCCCTCTATGTCTGATTAGATTCAGTTTCCTGTTCTGTAAAGTACATAACTTGATCATGATTTTCAAAACTAACTTACTTGGTAGGTTCACAAATCAGCAAGCTTATGACTTATAAATCTCAGTGACTAAGTTCAAATAAAATGCCATATAAGAAAATCACATTAACCTTGATTACATTTTATGAAATAGTCTCAAATTTAAAAGTACTGTATTTATCAGGTGCAAATGTCACTGGCCCAGTTAACCTCTTATGAAGAGTTCTTGAGAACTCTTGCACGCTGTTTCATAAACCTTCATATGGCCTAACAAAGTTACCATTTCAATATAGATTTTGATTTTAGTTACCCCTGTTCCTGCTTCATAAGCAGCCAAGCTGCTATGATTATTTTTTCATTATTCATATAATGGAATAAAGAAAAAAATGTCAGGAAAAGGAGGAATATCTCAAGGATAAAGAAAGAGCTTGAAAAACAAGTTATCACAACATGATTCAGCACAACACAAAATCTTATTTAATGCAACATTTTGTTCTGACAGTAGCTATCTAAATACCTCTCAGAAGCTCACAATGACAAAAACAGTAACCTCCACACATTTTTCCCAGAAACTGTTAATGGAAGTAAATATTTATTGTTCTGGGATCATAAATATACATTTTAAAAGTCATTGTTAGCCTCAATATATTAAGTAACAAAGGTTTAGAGGTTAAAATGTATTTTGTATAGTTTATTGGTAGAAAACATGTCTTGTAATGAAGTTTACCCAAATCCTTGTCCGTTAAGTCGGGCCTTGTTTGCAGTCCATGAAGCATACCACCCAGTGTACTGCTCTGGATTAGAACAGCTTATCTGATCTGGAGTGACAGCTGCTGATTCAAAACCAAGAGGCTTATGATAGGGGCACTCTGTAAAAGAAGACATGGAGAGGAATCAGTGCAGTTTTGAGTCTTGGAGTCAAAAAGTTTAATTTCTGTTGCATCCATCTCCAGAAACACTTAGTTTTATTAATAGGATGAGATATTGAAAAATGATTGTTTTATTTCTTATTTTCTTTTGGATTTGGGGAAGTTTGGGGATTTAATTTTGCACACTTTCAGTCAAGGAAGTAGGAGTTGTATCATTAGAAAATCACCCATAGTACTATAAACCAGTATTTTCAAGTAGGACACTTACAGCTGCACATGAGTACAATTTGCTATTTTGTCTTGAAAGGATATAGACTGGCAAAGTCTATAAAATCTAGAATTTTATATAAGGTGGTATTTTAGTTCAATCCAGAGGTGGTATTCAGCAGGTTCTGTTCAGTTCTGGAGAACCAGTAGCAGAAATTTTGAGTAGTTCGGAGGACCGGCAAATAGCACCTCTGACTGGAGATTTTATCCTTCCCCTGCCACGCCCACCAAGCCACGCCCACAGAACTGGTAGTAAAAAAAAATTGAATCCCACCACTGGTTCAATCATTTGACAACTGGGAAGAAAATCCAGGAATTGTACATTCTAAATCCAAAGTCTTTACAGATGAACCACTATCAACTTACACTTCTTGTTTAATTTACAGAATTAATATTAATAGAATTTAAATGTATATTCCCTCTCATTTCACAAGAGCTCCTGTACTGGATGTAACATTCTAGTTTTCTGTTTTGTCTTTTTTTTTTTTTTTTACTGCATCCCCTGTTTGAATATTATACCTACAATTGTGGTGGTTTCTTAGTGGAGGCATTATCTGAAGCCATCTGGATGATAGATTGCACAAAATTTGCAACAACCATATGTATAGAAGTATTAAAACAAGACGGACTAAAATGAGTTAAAACACCTCCAATGTGGCAGGCTACAGTGTTTGCAAGCAAAGCAAATTTAATTTTAGTAACACTAATCTTTAGATAACTCAGCTATAATATACTTAAGAGGTAGCCTTCCATTGTAGAAAATTGCAGTAGACTAAAAGAATTATCGAACAGATGTCTGGGGACTTTCAAATCAAGTACATTTATTATTTAATGCTGCTACTATTTACTTTAAAAGTCATTTAAGTGTGAGAAGGATTTTCTCTTATTAAGCTTTTTTCCCTATACTACAGCTTCTTTTGGTTTTGAGTTATTCTTATATATAATTGACACTTTAAGAATCCCCACTGCATTTAATGGAGGAAATATTTTGCAAATAGTGAAGTTAAAGAAGTATAATTAGTTTAAGGTTATATTTGCATTTGCTATGGGTCTTTGGGAATGTGCAGCTTGACCCAATCTAACCAATAATATAAGTCACGTAAATTTTTCAAGAAGATCCTGATTGATAATTATGGGTACTGTATCCCAATATGAACAATATTAAACCAAATAGGCTGATTTTGAGTTGTAATAATAAACAGATGATACTTACCTGGCATGCAGTCTAGACTGTCTGTTTCAATGGACCACACTGAGTTTGGATTTCTTTGACAATCACATTTACAGGCTTTGCTATGCCAGTGCTCTAGATTGTCATCCTAAGATAGTGCAGAATAATGTATCAACTTTGCATGTAAGAGAATAAGCAAATTCTTTCTTACTTCCTAAATTCCCATTGGACTATATCAACTCTGCTCAAATGGCAACTTTCAGTTGTATAATCAAAAACATTTGGGGAGTACAAGTTTGCATAGGGTAGCATTGCACTCTTCATATTGATCAATGCCATTTATTGCTATTGCACACAGAGAGAATCATACTTGAGTACAACAGAGAGAATATGGGGCATTCTAAGTCCTGGTCAAGCCAAAAGGATGATCAATTCAACTTAGAGTATATTTTATTCTTGTTTCACATCTCAGTTGAGCCAAGAACTCATTAAACTGCTTTAGTTGAGCAGTACGGTATACTATACCTTAGTATAATAAAAAGGAAAGGATGGTTGTAAAAATAGCTGAAATCACAAATATATACACTTGAGAGAAAGAGAGACAGCTAAACAGACAGACAACGGTAGGTGTACATGATCTTGGGAGACAGGGTGAAGAGACACAGCAAAGAAATGGAATGGGAGAATTTGCTGCAGCCAACTCACCACAACGGTCAACTTGCCACTGTCAATTCACCACAGCCAACTCATCACAGCCAACTTTCCGAGGGACAACTCACCATGGCCAACTCACCACAGGACAACTCGCTGTGGGACAATTCAACAATTCAATTTAATTTTTTAAAATAATTAAAACATTATTTTAATTTTTGCCATTCATGTTTCATTTTGTCCCTCCTTTAGCATTCTTTCTTTAATGATTCTATTCCATTATTTCTTTGATATTAGTGTAACTCTTGTTCCATGGCAAGTTGGTTGTGGCAATTTGGCTATAGTGAGTTGTCATAGACCCACCAAGAAAATGGTCAGATAGCAACAGTAATAGCACTTAGATTTATATACTACTTCATAGTGAATTACAGCCCTCTCTAAGCAGTTTTACAGAATCAGCAGATTGCCCCCAACAATCTGGGTCTTCATTTTACTGACCTTGGAAGGATGGAAGGCTGAGTCAACCTTCAGATAAAACAAATGGTACATTATTTGCCATACCAGTTTAGTGAACTCTATATCTAATTATGTATTATATTATGTATGTGTTTGCATCTCTGTCAGTGTATGTGTTCAAGTGTTAAATTTTATATTAAATAATTTAGATTATTTAGATTATTATTAGCAGAGCTGTGTTACGAGTCAACCATGACATGCTGTCTGCTTAACATCTAACTTTGTGCTGCTTTCATTTTGTTCAAAAATGGTTAATTAAAAAAAAAACTTGAGGTAGTAAAATTCACAGTAGTGCAAAAACCATAGACATGCTTAATTTTTTCATTTATTTGTTATCTAACTTACTACAGTATTAATCTAATGTGGCCAGTCAGAGTACTGAGAAGCTTATACAGTTAGTCCCTGTTTAGCAACAGTTTAGTAACTATTCATAGGTATGATGGCAATAAAGAACTTTATTGTTAATTTACTTTACTAACTTTACCACCAATTCTTGCATTTGCAACCTTCACAGGTCTGTAAAACAAAGGATAAACATGCAGGGTCACTTAGCAACTGTTATTCTTAAAGATGGAATTGCCAGACCCAGCTGTGGTTGCTAAATGAGAAATACCCAAATTTGAAACAAAAAGTTTATCTGAATTAGTAAAGCAGTCAGAGGGTTGCTAAAATTGGAGATCTCCAAACACTTTCCCCTTATTCTTGATGTACCTAGAGCAGTTATCTTGCCTATTTAATTTTGGACACTAAACTAAGTTGCCTTTCCTACAAAATCCAAAGTAAAAAGGAATCAAAATGAATTGAATGTTGTCCTATTTCAATTCAGTTTCATATTGCCAACAACTCAATTAAGGTAGAAAAAATGCAGACTGCCAGGCAAAAGAAATGAAAACCTAAGAAAGGACCCCAGAATGACACAGCCAGATAAAACTAATCTGGAACCTGAAGTTCACCATTTTGTTCAGAATGTTTAGATCAGTATTTTTCAAACTTCTCAATCTTTAAGATGGGTGGACTTCAACTCCCAGCATGTTTGCTGGAGAATTCTGGGAGATCAAGTTCACTCATCTTAAAGTTGCCAGGTTTAAAAAAGCACTGATTTAGACATAAAGATTTCCTATAGAGAAAGGCCAACTGCTTCCTGGAAAAATATACATTAGAAAATTAAGATTATGTTATTACTGACAAAAAGATACTGACAAAAGATTGTGGAGCTAATTTCATGACTCAGGGTAATTCCTTATATTAATTTCTTAACCTGGCTTGACCTGTGCATCTGTTTGTAATTATCTTTCTGAAACATTCTTGGATGTGCTATTCAAATGGATTTATGACTGTTGTTTAACATTTTTTATTAGCTGTGCTAGATAGGAAGTGGTGAAGTTCCTCAAAGCCTCCCCTTTCTGCTTGTTAAGTAGAAAACCACTGGAAAGCAGCAGAATACATAGCAGTTCGTGTGAGTAGGCAGATTCTAAACACAAGGAACAGCATAAAACATGAAAGCCAAGCGTGTCATTTTATAAAAAATTAGCCTCGTGGAGTTAGCACCTGCACTGTGATGACATCGTAACAAAGAACAGGGAAAGGCAGAAAGTCACATGACCCACCTCGGGCAGAGAACCAACCCCTAAATTGTTCCAAGTGAACTAGTGGCAGCTTGCTATACTTTATTTTTTGGGGTGGGGGTGGGGGGAGAAGCCTCCTGTAAATCACTTTTGTAAATACAGCCTTTCCAAAAAAATAAACTATTTTTTAAGATATGCTGCTGTAAGTCTGAATTAAACTGAATCAAAATTATAAATCAGAATACTGGGAAAGTTTGGTTTAAAACTGATTGGATGAAGGATGTGTTGTTCACTACAGTCCAGTAATTATGTTGATACAAATGATATCATGTTTGCAATTTGCATGATGACATCATTAGACAGATGATGCAAATTGATCACTTGGACTATAATGTCAATTCATAAATCATATCATCACCCAAAGGATATTGATTGTTTCATTTCCATCATTCATACTCAATCACACTGCAATTTGATCCATCCGGTATGAAATCCTTTGCATTAAAATCCAGAATACCACATGTTTTTCAGTGGGGTGGGAAAATCCACACAGAATAAAATTCCAAAGGTGCTTATATAGCAGGCAAAAAATACAAAACACTTACCTCTGCAAGTGACAATCGCAGCATGACTAATAGGTGTGATTTTGCCGCAGAAGTGAAAAAAACAGCAAAAAAAAAAAAGTCAAAGCACTGGATAGCGAGGGATGGAAATTGGGAACAAATACAAGGATAAATCATATGGTCACTCATTTGGCACTAGGTACTGTGCCAAATACTTTCTCAAAAGGCTGTTTCCAAAGGGGAACATGAAGCAGGCAGGCATTGTTTGTAGACAATGCTGTCCACAAGGCACTTAGAAGATACTCACCAGAACAATAAAATACAATTAACCCAAGCAGCAGCACAAGCCATTTAAAATAATGGCTAGAGCAGGGTCTCTGTTATATAACATTAAAAGGCTGAGGTGTAATCTAAACTTTGAAATGTTCTATATAAAGAGTACGCCCTGGCTTGAGTTCTGGCTTCCTCCCCTCCCCTTTCTTCAAACACTAAGGACGACAATTCTTAAGAACAATTACAGTTCTAATAAAACACATAACTTTCCTAGTAGTAAAGAAAGGCCTCTGCCTTTAAGTCAACACCTACAAACAAGGCATCCACAAGAAGGGAAGATGTCAAAAAGTCAAGATGACGACTATCACTGCTCTATTGAAAGCCCACCATTTTATTGAAAGCCCCACCTTTTTACAAGAAGTATTACTAGTTATATCACTTTATAAAGCCTTAGTAAGACCATAGCTGAAATGTGGCATCCAGTTTTGGTCACTACACTACAAAAAAGATTTTGAGACTCTGGAAAAATTGCAGAGAAGAACAGCTAAGACGATTAAAGTCCTAGAGACTAAAACATGAAGAATGGTTGCAATAATTGGATATGGCCAATCTAGAAAAAAGAAGGACTAGAGGGGACATGATAGCAGTATTTAAGTAAGGAAGGAGCAACCTGGAATTAAGGAGAAACTTCCTAACAGTGAGGACAATTAACCAGTGGAACAGCTTGTATTCAGTCATTAAGAGACTGGACAGCCACTTGTCTGAAACAGTATAGGATATCCTGCTTGAGCAAGGGGCTGGACTAGAAGACCTCCAAGATCCCTTCCAGCTCTATTCTATTTTATGTGCATTGTACGTGCAACACATATAAAACTGGACCATTGATTGTGTAATCACAGTCACCGTCATAAAATTTTGACACTGCCCTCCTGCAGATGCCCTTACTTGTTGAAGTTCCATCTACTCCAGACAAAGAACATGTGCTCTTTGTGCTGTCAAGTGAGTAGAAAATGCTGCTACACAGGAACAAGCATGGCAAATATGCAGAATTTTAGATCATACATTCTTAGATGGTGTAAGATCAAGAAATACATTTTTGATAACATTTTATATGTATATTTCAGCCAGATGTATTAATGCTGCTGGAATGCACATAAACAAACACACCACATTAAATAAAGCAAGATGGAGATTTAATTCATAGGCCCAGCTTTGTATCTGAAATTAGACCATGGGTTAAACTGTGTTTAAAGTGGATAACCACAACCTTTTAAAAGCATGCATGGGAATTTATCTTTTCCTAACAATTTTCTCTTCCAACCTGGCATTTTCCATGTATTTCCCTTCTATTTCCATGATCCTGTCCAGATACATTATTGTTTTCTGATTTATGAAGATGCTTTATAATTGGTTGTCCAAGTAATATTGGTTAATAAATTAACATTATATATTTTCTATTCAGATACTATCATTTTTTAATTTTAACAGCCCAGAACTGGTATCCCTAGTTAAGCAGCCAAAGAAAACATTTGTCTTTCTGCTAAACAGTGGTGCCAAATAACAGATGGAAAAGGAAAACCCAACAGGAAAATAGTCTTGAAATAAATCATATTGTATTGATGATGTGGTCTCCAACAAGCAGATGTGGCAGTTGCAGAGAAAATAAAAAGATATGTGACCCTCAGTTACAGTGTGAAAATTAATTGAAAGGGCAGAGCTTTTGCTCCAAATTTGACCTCTGTAAACTATGAGACCTGGATACATAGGAGCAAGAATCATGCTATGTACTATATTAGAAATTACTGATCTATTTGTAAACCATGGGTAAACCACACTAATTAGAGAATCTGCAACCAGAATATTAATACCAATATATTGTGGTTATTATACAGTATGTTGGCTTGTGGGCCTTTATCTTAGTCTTTCTTTTATGACAAACTAGACAAGTTGTGACCCTTGCATCATTACTTCAGATATATTTCCTTATTAGATTCCTGAATGCCTTCAACAATGGCAGCATTTCCAATGTACTTGAAAAGTTCTTAAAGATTAAAGGAGATATTCAGATGTTATTTTTAGATTGAAAGTAGTTCATGTTGAACTATATAGTACAGTCAAACATCAGAAAATGACCAGAGGAAATGTTTTATAACATTTTGTATTATGTCATAAAATGCTTTATGATAATGCTTATGTCATAAAATGTTTTATAAAATTTGCCAAACTTAAATTCCATGGCAGTTATGGGTCCTGGATTTTGGATGCATTCTGTAAATGAACCCATTTGGGGAATCTTACTTCAAAAGATTTTGCCCTATGATGCACTGTTTCATCCAGTTTAAAGGTTACAAGTATTATTTAGATAAACTTCCTTGGAAACATAAACTCAGACTAAGGTATGGCCATAATTATCCAAGTATTATTATTATTTATTTATTTGTCAAAAGCTTACAATACAACAGAAACTAGAATAAACATAGTTTAAATGGAAGAAATAGGAAGTAATAAATAGGGACAATAGGACCAGGACGATAGGCACGATTATGAGCTTATGCACGCCCCTTACAGACCTCTTAGGAATGGGGTGAGGTCAATAGAGGTTAGTTTGAGGGTAAAGGGGTAGGGGTTTGAGCAGGTGACAACAGAATCAGGTAGTGAGTTCCAGACATTGATCACTCTGTTGCTGAAATCGTACTTCCTGCAATTGAGTTTGGAGTGATTTACATTTAGTTTATATCTGTTGTGTGCTCTTGTATTGTTGTAGTTAAAGCTGAAATATTCATTAACTGGTAAGTAGCTCCCGAACAGATCAAGTTTTAGTTCTACATCACCTGATAGAGATATCAATAAGTGTACACCTTTCCTGTATGAGATATTTGTGGATTTTAAACGTTTGAGTTAATTTTGAGACTTCTTTTATGGGAAAATGTTGAGCGGTGCCTGTTTTCCTTATTTAAAACTATGCAAAGATTCCAGAATCAGATCAAATCTCTGTGTATAGGAGAGCCTGTATTTTAGCTTCTTTCCAGTGCATGAGCCCCCTTGAGATTCTTGAATTTGAACCTCTAGTCTCTCAAAATAGAAAATGCCAAAATTTGCTACATGCAAATGATGCAGTTATTATTTTAAAGCTTCAATTGACTTTAGATGAGCCTTCAGAAGCATAGTGCAACACTGCAGAGGAAACTAGCTAATTATTTTCAAAAGTTGAAAGTGATTATTTTTGCCAGTTCCAGATATACAAAGTTGACTTAGATAAAATAGATAGAGCAAGTGAGGAATTTTAAATATTCAAGTGCTTCAAGATTTGGGCTTGTGGAAAGCACACATAAACTTTAGCAATTCTAAAATTACTGATAGAAGACAATATTGGTAGCTCAAGTTTGACCGCACAATTCTAAAATTCTTTAGCATGTATTTCTGCAACTATTCAGTGCTAGACCAAATGGTCTCAAGTAGACTGGTGAAAATTTTCAACATGTGGCATCTCTGTAGATTTTCAACATCTTTCTGGATTCATCAAGGCCAAGAAAATAAAAGACTTTTAGCAGAATTCTACAATGAGACAAGTCAGAGATCAAGTGAACCATCCTAGATGGCCACTGGCTAGTTAGATTCCATCACTTACTTTGCTATTTCAACCTATTTTTTTAGGGCCACATTTAATAACTTTCCTTTTATTTGAGAAATTGAATAAAATCTCTATAGTTTGTTGGTGTTGATAGCTTCATTCTTCAGGTGTTCCTACATTGTTCTCGTACAGTCTTGAGATTTATTGATTGCTAATCATAAAGAGGTCTAAAAAATACATTTCTTGAAACTATAATAGAAGGATGAACTGAATTTTTATTATCAGAAGTGAAAGATGCTTTGAATCCCCCTTGTCCATACCTCCTGATATTTATTTAATAGCATTATTCTTCCGAGAAGAATGTTCCATTTCACAAAGCCATCTGAAGTTATGGAATTTTATTTCAAAATTGGCTCTATTGCCCAATCTAGCATTCAGGTTTTTAACCACAAAAGCAAAAACTATTAATATTAATTTAATATTAGTGATAGCATAAATTGAAGTGCACTTAGCTACATTTGGAATATGTTTTATTCTCAATATTCTGGAAATGAAGGAGAAACATATAAATGAACATATATCCAGCAAAAATTAAAGCAACAACAAATTTGACCATTTTATAAATACCATAATTGTTTGTCTAATGTTGGAAGTTCCTTGTTCTTTTATAAAATGCTGTATGTACAGTATAATTTGATTTGTTCATACAGGCATTTTTAATGCATTGAATTGAAAAGCAGTATTTATTCTCCTTGAAAATGGAGTTACAAGATGTTTAATTCTAGGAAATGGAGTATAAAAGGTTTTCTGTTTAGGAGAAATAATTGAGTAAAAAAAAGTTGTTGAAAACAGAAGAAATTCTCAATATTTTAGCAATACAAAATGTATTATTCATTCTGGATTTTTCTTTCAACAATATCCAAAAGATTCCAAAATTACTAGTTTTCAGGAGAAAAACCTAGAAAAGAGGTAGAAAAAAAGGCTCAAAATATATTTGACCACATAAAATATTTTTGTTATGATAATTTATATGCCACCTACTCATAGACTCTTAGTAGCTGAAAGCATTACCATACTGAAAGCATTAAAATTTTGTGACTTATAAGATTAACACCTGAAAATAAATGCATTCTATTTTACACACCTTTTTCTCCAAAAGCACTGAAAAAAGGACTGTCTTCTAAAGAACATCAGTGAGGGCTAGTAACAGAAGCAAACTATTCCATAGTGAGGGAATTAGTATTGAAAAGGTCACCCGCTGGGCCCCAATATCCTGATTCTCTAGAAAGTGGTACTTCTCCCTGGTTGCATCATGTAAGGAAGGCGAGGGCCAAAGCCTCATCTACCAGAGGTGTCTCACCATCCCCCAGATAAGAGGCCAAAAAGTGGGGGGGTGGCCTGCCTATTGGGCAGCAGAAGGGACCTGGCCAGTGGTGGTATTCAGCCAGTTCTCACTGGTTCTGTAGAACTGGTATGTAACCCTCACCCCTCCCCTCCCCCAGTTACTCCTTGCCTTGCCTGGGCTCTCCTTCCCACCCACCTGCTCGCCTGAGCTTACTAGAGCCACTTTTGTGCCGTGACATCACCCGAGGTGAGGGGAGTGGGAGCAGGGAGGCTCGCTCACTCCCTTTCTCTGTGCCTGCGCCATTCGGACTTTCCTTTCTCTTTTCAGCGTCTGAGCCACACGACTACAGCCATGGACCACCAGCAGCTGTACTGGAGCCACCCCAGGAAGTTCAGGCAGGGCTCCTACTCCTAGTAGGTCTCTGACCCTCCCCAACTCCCTCTTTTGGGCCTCTGCCAGGCCCAGCGCCAATGCCATCTGGCGCACAACAGCCTCTGCAACCAGGCCTGGCAGCAGCAGGGAACATGAAATATTGGATAAATATTACTGATCCCCACCCAGATAGAATGTTTTTCAGTGCTTTGTTGTAGAAATGTGTTCAGCTGCCCAGAAAAAAGAATAACATAATCTGGAGTATAAGGAGAATTATGGATTATTATATGAATGAATCAACAAAAGTCTCAGTTTTATGTATGTCCATTTCCCATTTCCACGTGAGAGGAAATTAAAGGCTTCCTTATAATTTTCTCAGTTGGTAAGGAAGGGCAAATAGATGACAATATATTATTCTGGCCTAATTAATTAAATTTCAATGGTCCACCATGTCTTAGAACAGAAGCTTAAATTTCTTTTCCAGGTCTAAGAGTAGGGAGGCTTACAAGTTCATGTGAGCTCATTCAGACAGCAACAGACCATATATTTCCAATTTGTTACAGGTAGACCTTGTTTAGCAAGCACAATTGGGACTGGCAGCTTGATTGTTAAATGCAGCAATTGCTAAATGAAATATAATTTTGCTTCAGCTCAGATTATCATAAATGCAAGGATTGGTTCAGTGGTGGGATTCTATTTTTTTTACTACGAGTTCTGTGGGCGTGGTGTGGATTGGTGGGTATGGATTGGTGGGCATGGCAGTAGAAGGATAATGTAAAATCCCCATTCCCTCCCCACCCCACTAACCTGATTTCCAGTTCTGTTCTCCTGTGCAAGGCAACAAAAGAAGACCCAGCCAATCAGCTGGGACTCAGGAGGCAGAGAATAGACGGGGTTGGGGCCAGTCAGAGGTGGTATTTGCTGGTTCTCCGAACTACTCAAAATTTTTGCTACCGGTTCTCCAGAACTGGTCAGAACCTGCTGAATACCACCACTGGATTGGTTGCAAAATTACTTTTTCATCACCATTGCAACTATAAATGGTCATTAAACAAGGCAGTTGGACTATCTGTAATGATTATTACAGCTGTAATCAATCAAGAAAAGGAAGCGGCTAAAATCTGCTAAGAACAGGGAGGTAATAAATTACTGAATGATTTTTACTCTATCCTTTGTTGAAGACACAACTATTGGTTGGCTTCAAAGAAGCCAAATAAAACACCATTTGACTAAATGTAATATATCAACCGCTGTGTTGATTTGTAGATCTGCCCTGGCATACTAATAAAACTGAGCTCTTGATTTATTAATGTAGAAAATTATACTTGCAACTTCAATTTCTCCATCAATTAGGAAATCAGTTGCCTTATCTGAGTTCCTTCACAAGTTAACTGGTGACGCAGAAAACCTTATTTTCCTGTTCTCTCACATTGACTATTTTTAAATAAATTATGACTCCTCTCAGGAAAGGACATAAGAGGAAAAAAAGTCCTGTACTATCTTGGACATGGGAAAATAATCAACCAGTAACAAAAGTTGCTGACGTGACCATGGGTTCTCTGATTGAAATTATGGGAGAATTTCAGTACCAGCCATTCCAAGTAACCCAGGCCAAAGCCATCTACATTTGTAACTACGAAAGCTGCCAGTCCCAATTGCACTTGCTAAACAAGGAAAATAATTGGGCTATAAAACACCCAGTATTTTGTGTTCCCTGCTGTTGCCAGGCCTGGTTGCAGAGGCCGATGTGCACCAGATGGCATTGGCACTGGGCCCAGCTGAAAAGGAAAAGGAAAGGCCAAATGGCACAGGTGCAGAGAAAGGGAGTGAACAAGCCTCCCTGCTCCCACTTCCTTCCCCTCGTGTGAGGCACCTCTAGTAAGCTCAGGTGAGCCACCCAGCGAGAAGAGCCTGGGCGAGGTGAGGAGTGGCTGGGGGAGGGGAGGTGCGAGGTTTCAGACGGTTCACTGAACTGTACAAAAAATTAGGTACCAGTTCTACTGAACCAGTGCAAATCGGCTGAACACCACTGCATATGGCATATATACATAGGATTAAATAGTGTATTTTGGATGGTCAGTAGTAGTAAATAAATAAAGAGGGAAAATGTATCTCATTGAGGCCTTTGAGTTGAGCTACCTGGCAAGGCAAGGCTGGGCGTGACAAGGAGAGGCAGGGAAGGGCCAGGGGTGGCGAGGAGAGGTGAAGCAAGGTGCCCCTCGATGTGAATGATTGGCCATGCCCATTCAGTCACATGACCACCCAGCCACACCTACCCAGCCGGTCATTAGGGCAGAGAACCGGTTGTTAAATTATTTGAATCCCACCACTAGACCTGGCCCATGAAACGAAAGGTGGGGAGACAGGAGTGTGGGGTGTTATGAGCCAAGTGTCAGTGGGGCCTGGCTCCATATAGCCCTCTTCACTGCATGGCAGGGCCGAAGAGGGGAACCTGGCACTCAGGGCCCTGAAGTATGCAAGTGCAGTACATGTGAGGTGGGGCCGAGCACAATTTATTGGGCATCCTGTCTCACATCCAGCTGGCCATTGGTGCCAGTCAATAAGCAGCTAAGGGCCCAACAAGCTGCAGCTCCTACTGGGCATTGCCACCACCCCCACACACTCACTGACTCCTGTGCGTGCACCCAGGGGGCACACCCAGCTGGGGTGGGTGGGCCAAGGTGACAAGGCTGGCCCTCACCATCTCTAGGGCAGCTCTAAACCAATCATGGGCTGGATCTGGCCCGCAGGCCTTGGTTTTGACATGTCTAGTCTAAATGAATGTCTGGCCTCAGTGAAATCCTTGGTGACTTTTTAATTGAACTCAAAGGCTGAAGCCCCAAAGAAACCGAGCAGCAGGAACAACCACCAGTAGAGGAAAAGAAAGAAAATTTGCAGAAAAGGCAAGGACTGGGCAGGAGACGTCCTAGGGCAGTGGTGGCAAACCTATGTCACATGTGCCAGAGATGGCATGCAGAGCCCTCTCTGTGGGTACGCACGCCGTCGCCCCAGCACAGACGAAACACTGCCAGACATGCAGCAAAACAATTGATGGGAAGAACAGGGCTGTGATTGGTGGGTGCAGTTTCATTTCATGCCTCCCGTTTAAGTTAATAGACAGCCAGGGGGCTGTTTGCAAATGGTCCCTGCCCCCTTTCGTTCTGTTTCGAAAAACCCTCCCTAGCCTTTTTTTTCCCCACCCCCGATTGTCATTTAGTAGTTGTCATTTGCTTGCCTTCTTTCAAAAATTACACAGCTACACCAGCAAATAATCTGTGCATTGATGAGACCTAATTGCAAAGAATTGGGTGTGTGTGTGTAAGACTAGACTAGACTAGAAGGATCTTGCACATCGTTCTCTATCTCTACAGCAATAAAGAATCCCTCGTTGCCCACGTCCTCACCCCGTGCTTGGTACCCTTGGTGTGTTCTTTTCCTGTGGCAGGATTGTCTCAGACCATGTGCAGTGCCTTCACTATTCAATACCCCCACCTCCCAAGGTTCAGACGAGGATTAGGCCTTTCAAAGCAACCCCTGCAAATGTTCAACCCTCACCAGAACAGTAGAAAGGAGAGGAGGAGAGGAGGACTCTTTAGCTTTGCCCTTCTTCAGTCTGGCTCCCTCCTGCCCTCCTATGCTGCGGCAACCCTTCACACTCACCCCACTTCCTTGCCTCATTCCCATGAGGACTGCTCCCCTGTCTCCTTTTGGGAGCCCGCCTGATCTCCCTTCTAAGACTAGCTGGGCTCTGCTGCCTCCTCTTACATTCCCCCCACTCCCCACCCCAGCGGCAGCAGCATTTAAAGGGAGGTCAGCTGCCCTGGGACTTTGGCAAGGTGCTCCAAAAAGGTCTGGCCTGGGGAGGGGAGGGCAGCGGTGGGAACCCCGCAGATGCTGAGACCTTCCCTCGCCAGAAGGGCTTGGCTGCCCCAGTGTAGGGACGAGGACGGCGGAGGCATCGCGGGGGTAGTGTGTGCACGTGTGTGAGAGAGGGAATGAGAGAGACTGTGTGAGTGTGTATGTGTGAGGAGAGACTCAGCTTACTTCTCTTCTCCTAACAAAAGTTTGTAGTTACTCTCAAAAGTTCAGTTTGTCCTCCAATTACATGAGTAGATCCTTCTAGGAAGAGTTTACTGGCTTTGTTGGGGTTTGGGGCCACAAAGGGGAACCAGGAAATCTACAAGGAATTTTCTAGCATTGTAGCAGCTGCAAAGGTGAATTTTAGTAACAGATTTTTACAGTTCCGTAAGATGGAGACAACCCTGTGTTTTCTTACTTGTTCAGATAAAGCCAAATTTGAAGAATTTGATCTTTCTTGCTTACACTGGTTAGATTTAGGAAATCTGGAGATGGAGCTATTGGAATTTCAAGAAAGCTCTATCTGGAAAAATAAATTCTATGATCTGCGTGAAACACCTGAGAGGATAGAAGGGATGACAAAGGAGAGCATAGTTAGTTCTGAAAATGAAACCCTTAAAGTGCGCTAAATAATTTTAAATCAATGAAAGCACTTGGGATTGCTTTCCTTACTTTGTTTGGATCATCTTATGCTTGTGAGCAGCTGTTTTCAGCTTTGAATTATATCAGACACCAGAAACAGACTAACAATGACCTGAGTGCTGCATGTGTTGCTCTCAAACTTATAAAGTATTTGCCAAGGTTAGACAAATTATCAGCATGCATACAACAGCAAAAATCACATTAATTGTTCAAATGCAAACTTTTACCTTTCAATAAAAAGTTGTTTGTATCATTGAAAGCTCTGTTATTGTGTTTTTCTTTTAAGACAAAAGATGTTAATGTACGAGTTGTTTTTTCTAAAGTAAAACCTCAGAATTCAAGCTAAATTGCCATGTTGGCACTTCCCAATAAATAAGTGGGTTTGGGGTTGCAGTTTGGGCACTCAGTCTCTAAAAGGTTCGCCATCACTGTCCTAGGGGATAAGGGGCATGCGCCTGAAATCCAGCCCTAAGTAAAAGGCAAACAAAGGCAAAGACTGGACAGGAGACGTCCCAGGGGATAAGGGGATCTGCCTAAGATCCAGCTTTAAAATAGGAAACTGGCAGCACAAAGACATCCACTCAAGGGGCAACAGAGTTGCCAAA